CTACATCCGAAAGAGTCCTAGGGGTGACAATTGACCAGAAGATGAATACGAGCCACCAGTATGATGAAGTCGCCAACAGAGCAAATAGAACTCTGTGGTGCATCACCAGATGTGTCACCAACAGAACCAGAGAAGTGCTCCTCCCCCTCTATTCAGCATTGGTGAGGCCACAGCTGGAGTACTGTGTCCAGTTCTGGGCACCACACTTCAAGAAGGATGTGGACAAGCTCAAAAGGGTGCAGATAAGGGCCATACACATGATCAAGAGCCTGGGGGATAGGCCCTATGAGGAGAGACTTTGGGATAGTTTCATAGTAGGTAGGGTTAGAAGGGACCTGAGCAGATCATCAAGTCTGACCTCCTGCCATTGGCAGGGAAGGAAGCTGGGGGCAAGTAACCAGCAACAGCTAGGTGATAGTCTAGCCTCTTTTTGAAGAACCCCAGGGTAGGAGCGAACACCACTTCTCTTGGAAGTTTGTTCCAGATTCTAGCCACCCTGACTGTGAAGTAGTGCCTCCTGGGCTTTTGTTTTGGCCCAGTGGGGAAGCTGATAGAGATATCCCTGGCTAGTTGGTATCAGGGGTGGATCCAGGGTCAATGCAGTGGTGCATTTGCATCCTCCCCGACACTTTTCTTCTTAGCCCAGCCAAACTATAAAGCCAACTGTCTGGCAGCGACAGCAGAATTTCTATTCAAGCAGCAGTGAGGGAATCACTTGACTTCACGGCTCATTATGGTCTACCTGAGTGCTTGTAGACCTGCCAGGAGGCTGCTCTGACATGCTCTAATTACAGTGCATTGGAGCAGACTCAATTAATCAAGTCTGCTGGAATCTGGAGTATGGTAATTAGCTCACTCCAGCCAGCCTCTGCTTCTTGTGTATCAGTGTTCCTGTGTTTCAAAATGGCTGCAGGGACACTTTAACAAAAGCTTGTTCAAGAAGACACTGAGGGTAATGAGACTGTCTGAGCTGCTCTACTTAAAGCCCACCCCAACCCCTGGAGCATATGCAAAAATGCCCCCTGAGTCCTGCTAATTTCTCTTTATACCACAAGTGTTAATGACTGTAGCAGGGCACATTTGGGTGCCTGCTTGCAGCAGGACATCTGTGATACCTGCCACTCAAAGGGCCTGAGTAGGCAGCAGAGGCAGCCTGCAGGTGGCTTCTCTCTCCAATCAGGAGTCACATGGCAAGCAGGAGACTGCCTGATTGGGGAAGAGGGCTCAGCTGCTATAAGAGCAGGCTTGAGAAACAAAGCTAGTAGCAGCACCTGCAAGCAGCTGGAAGTAGAACATCTCTCAGTTAGAGCTGGTGCTCAGGAACACAGAGGACAGGGTAAGAACTATGAGGATGGCAGGAGGTTCCTGGTCTTGGGGAATGACTTAATACTACACTCTGCTGGGGTTGGATGGTATGGTGGGGCTGCTTCTGGCAGGGCAGCTTCCAGGCAATATAACACCTATGCCTCCCCAGTGAAGAGTGAGTATGGGATGCCAGAAAGCCTCCACCCCTGCTGCCTTGTGGGTTATCCTGTCAAGGGAAAGGCTAGAGGAGCATACCCTAAGAGAAAGCACAGGGGCTCAGGCCCATTGAGTGGGGTCTATGGCCGAGTTCAGGTACGTTGACAGACCCCTAAGGCACCATTGGCTAAGTTAGGGGGGCCCAGGTGTGACTGCTGAAAATTATGTCTGTGTAATAAAGGTGCTTGCTGAAGGCTCTATGAAGATTAGACCAAGTGTTTTTGTCATTTGTTCAGATATTAAGCTATATGTTCTTACTAAAAGCCTAATTAAAGTCTAAGATGTAGTGCGGCCTAGTAAATTTAGGAAAGCCTTATAGAAGTGATTTTAGGCCCTGTGGCATAGTTGAAAATTAACATTGTCAGAAGAATGCAAGGCTTGTAGTGCTATTGGTCAGTCTAAGGACATTTTGAAGTTGAAGTAAAACCAATCTGAATGGCTGTAAGTTATCAGCATAGCTCAGAAGTTTATAAATTCGCTGGCACATCCGGAAATCATTTAGAAGGAAAATGAAGCTTTGTAAAAGGGGCTAATTAACTGCTGACCTGAATCAGTGGGCCCATGGATCTCGAAGAGCCCAAGGACTGAATACCAGGGTGCTTTCGGGTACCCCTCAGACAGCGCTGATTGGGGATGTCTGACTTCACTGAGCTTTGCCAAAGAGAAGTTTGTTGTACATCACATTAGCAACTTCTCGGCAGTCCCCTCTGATGCCTGAAGTATTATCGTCTGTCCTCGTATATTACGTGTAGTTGTGTTTTTTGTTCAGTTAATAAACCTTTCTTACCACACTTTCAATCCCGAATCCTCTGCAGGCAGTTGGGACATAAATTGGCGTCACGAACAGGAATGAGAGACTCTGGTCTGGAGAGAGAGGTCAGAATGGAGTGAGTTCCATGGGCCCTGCTGGTGGCTTTGCTTAAAGAAGTAACAGGGATGGTAGAATCCCAAGTGGGATAAGGATAGATTGAGACCTGCCTGGAGTGATCGGGGAACTGTACCCTATCATTAGGCTAGGTTTGCTACTGCTGCCAGGGGAAAGCGCAAGAAAGGGTGCCTGTCATGGCTGCTGGCCATATAGTTTCATAGTAGGTAGGGTCAGAAGGGACCTGAGCAGATCATCGAGTCTGACCCCCTGCCATGGGCAGGAAAGAATGCTGGGGTCAAACAACCCCAGCTAGGTATCTATCTAGCCTCCTTTTGAAGACCCCCAGGTTAGGAGCGAGCACCACTTCGCTTGGAAGTTGGTTCCAGCCCGTAGCTGCCCTGAATGTGAAGTAGTACCTCTTGATATCTAGCCTGAATCTACTCTCGGTCAACTTATGGCTATTGTTCCTCGTTACTCTTGGTAGTGCTCGGGGGAACAGAGACTCCCCCATAGCCTGCTGGTCCCCCTTGGCCAGTTTGTAGACAGCCACCAGATCCCCTCTCAGCCTTCTCTTGTGGAGGCTGAACAGGTTCAGGTCCCATAGCCTCCACTCGGGGCAGCAAGGCAGGCCCTACCTGATCACGTGAGTGACCCTCCTCTGGACCCTCTCCATGTTGTCCACACTTCAGGTGGGATGTGGCACCCAGAACTGGGCGCAGTACTCCAACTGTGACCTGACCAGTGTCACATAGGAGGTGATCCTCCCCCTCTTGGCCTTGCTTGTGATGCATCAGTGTATGCATGACAAGGTGCAGTTAGCATTCCTGACCGCGTCCCCACATTGGCAGCCCATGATCATTTTGGAATCAATAATTATTCCAAGATCCTTTTCTGCCTCTGCACTGATGAGAAGGGAATTCCCCAGCCTGTAGGTCTGCTGCTGGTCCTTCCTCCCCAGGTGCAATACCTTGCGCTTATCAGTATTGAATCCCATCCTGTTCTCATCCGCCCACCCCTGTAACCTGTCCAGGTCCGATTGAAGCCTATTCCTCCCTTCCAGCATGCCCACTTCTCCCCACATCTTAGTGTCATCCGCGAATTTGAACAAGGTGTTTTTTCACCCCCTCGTCTAAGTAGTTGATGAAGATGTTTAACAGTGCGAGCCCAAGGACCAAGCCCTGGGGGACTCCACTGCCCACATCCCTCCAGGTCGAAAGACCCGACCACCACTACTCTCTGGGTGCGGCTTTCCAACCAATTTGCGACCCATCTGACTGTGTAGGCATTGACGCCACAGTCGCCTAATTTCTTAATGAGAGTGGGGTGAGAGACGGTGTCGAAGGCCTTCCTAAAGACCAGGAAGACTATGTCCATTGAGACACCTGCATCCAAGGCTTTTGTGACCTGGTCGTAGAAGGCCACCAGGTTGGTCTAACAGGACCTGCCTCGAATGAACCCATGTTGGTTGCCCCTAAGCATTATCTCCCCTGCTGGCCCCTTGCAGATCTGCTCCTGGATAACTTTCTCAAAGAGTTTCCCCAGGACCGAGGTAAGACCTAATAGGTCTGTAGTTCCCTGTGTCCTCATTCCTCCCTTTCTTGAAAATGGGGACCACATTGGCACTTTCCCAGTCCTCTGGCACCTTGCCAGAGCACCACAAGTGCTTGTAAAGCCATGCCAAGGGTCCTGCAATGACCTCTGCTAATTCCCTCTGCACTCTGGGGTGGATGTCATCAGGACCTGCTGATTTGAACACATCTAGACCCACCAGAAGTTCCCTGACTAGGTCCTCAATGACCCTGGGCCTGGCAGCGCCTCTCCTGGGTCCATCAGGGGCCTAGTGGGGGGATCTGGGACTTCTCATCCTTCTTGCTCTGGTTGAAAGGTGACTTTATAGCCACCTACAAATATGTCCAGGGAGAACACCAGGAGCTAGGTGAACACCTTTGTAAAACCCCTCCTCACCCCTTCGGGAAGATGCAAACCAATGGACACAAGCTAGTCGAGGAAAAACTAGTCCCAAGGAAAAACTTCTTTTCCATATGGAGAACTAGAATCTGGAATATGCTTCCAGCAGAGGTGGTGAAGTTGCCTTCTCTGGTGGTCTTTAAGAGGAGGGTGGACAAATACCTCGTTGAGCCTGTTTGAGCCCAGTTACCTCCTGCCCATGGCAAGGGACCAGACTTGATGATCTTATAAGTCCCTTCCAGTTCTTTCTATGATTCTATAAAAAGGAACAAAGATGTCTATAGAGATTTCCACAACAATATCCAGGTCCTTTCTCTTACCAGACACTGGTTAATTAACATCATTAGGGTAGTTTAATTTTTCTCCCCCTCACCTATCATTTGGCAAATCTACATGAGACACTTTACAGCACAGTTAGATTAGTCTACTGCACAGTAAAGTGTAACTCCCTACAGGTGTGTGGCATTTACTGAACAGTAAATTAGTCCTGTAAATACAAGTACTAAATTAACTGAGCATTAGTTACTGCACAATGGGAGCATCTGCACATTTATTAATGTGCTATAGTTACTGCACATTTAATATTTGCTTAATGAAGTACTAACTAAACGCACAGCAACTACAGCTACTGCACAGTAGCACCAGTGCACGATTACTTCACAGTAGCCTATTAACACAGTTCTTGACTAGCGCAATGTTATTAGGCTACCACGCAGTATGCATCTCGTGTAGATGCACCCAATAGCACTCATGTAGATGCTGACTAGGAGCAAATTTGCTCCCAGTCGGCCACACCAGCAAGGAGCCACAGGGGATGGGGAAGTTCTGTCCCTGGTTCTCGTGCTGCTCAGCTCCTGGCTCCTCCCAGGCACCTGGAGCCTATCAACACCAGGACAAGGTTGCTCTGTCACCCCTAAGCCAGCGCTACCCAGCTCCCCGCAGGAACTGTGAGCTGAGCAGCACCAGACTTAGGAGTTCTCAGCTTCCCTGCTCAGATGGGCACATGCTGGCAGCTGTTCTGCTTATGGTGCAGCTGCTAGCAAGCCCCCTGCTGGGTAGGAAAGCCCCACTGGGCATGGGGCTTGCTGGCAGGTGTGTGTCCCAATGTGCACAGGACCAGGAGATGGCTACTGTTGCAGCTGGTAGAGCTCTCCTGGCACTGTACACATCAGGACTGGCCCCTGTGCCCCCCTGCCAGGCCCCACCATAGCACCCTAGGGGAGCCTGAAGCTCTTCCTGAAAGAATAGAGAGATGTTCCTTCCTTGACGGTAATCAAGCCCCACAACCTCTGACAGCACAGGGGACACAATGGTGGGAGTCTATTACAGGCCTCCCACTCAAAGTCCTGAGCTTGACCAGGAGTTTGCCCAGGAACTGGCTGAGGCAGCTTGCTCCAAGACCATGGTTGTCATGGGTGACTTCAATTACCCGGACATCTCGTGGGAGGATTGCTCAGCAAAATCTGAGCAGTCGCAGAGCTTCCTCTCGTGCGTGGATGACCTCTACCTGACTCAAGAAGTCTATGGGCCAATGAGAGGCAAAGCGCTGCTCGACCTGGTACTGGCTACTGGGGATGACCTAGTCAGCGACCTAGTGATCGATGGGCGCGACCATGAGCTGATCACCTTCACCATCCGCCGAAAAGCTGGCAAGTCGGTCAGCAACGCGCAAGTCCTTGACTTCAGGAAAGCCGACTTTGATAAGCTCAGGAGGCTTGTCAGTGAGGCCCTAAGGGACCGTGACCACAGGGAGAGGGGAGTTCAAGAGGAGTGGTTGCTCCTCAAGGGAGCGATCCTCAATGCACAAACTAAGTCTATTCCATCTCGGAGGAAAGGCAGCAAGAGGGCACAGCAGCCCCCCTGGCTCTCCAGGGACCTAGCAGACCTCCTGAGGCTAAAAAGAAAGGCCTACAAAGGATGGAGGATGGGAGTCACCTCCAAGGAGGATTATTCTGCACTGGTCCGGTCCTGCAGGGAGCAGACCAGGAAAGCCAAGGCTGCAACTGAACTCCAGCTAGCTTTGAGCATCAAGGACAATAAGAAGTCCTTTTTCAGATATGTGGGGAGCCGGAGGAAAAGCAGGGGCAACA